CCTTCCCAAGGCGCACTTCTTCCAATTCTGAAGGGAAATGGTGCTAATTAGATGTATTATGAAGATATGACATATTGATTCACTATAGTGTCTTCCTCTTAGGAAACCTAAATAGCAAGACCAGAGCTCTTAAAAATAACTGCATTAGTTACAGGCAGTGAACAATTGTCCTGGTTAACAGCTTGGCTCATGTGCACTGCCAAGAAATCCCAGGCTAGACAATGAACTTATGTTTGTCAGCTTTCATTTGATTTCACCAAACGACATCACAATGGTGTCTGTAATACAACTAATGCAATGTGGTATAGGGTCTGTCTGCACAATATGGATACATCTGAAGCAGTTTTAAACAGCGGCAGACTACCTGCAGAACCATGGACTTCAGCACGAATTGATTTCACTAGACTCTGCAAGTGGTTTTGCTTCTCAGCTCTCTGCTGCAGGTATCCAGATTTTCCTCTAGCACCCGTATTCACCTGGATATCACAGAGTCATCAAGGTTGGAACAGATCTTCAAGATCATCTAGTCCAACTATCAATGTAGCACCACCATAGTCACCCCTAAACAAAGTGGATGTGCGTCTATTAGCCTCAGCAGAGATCGCAAGGCACATTCAGATCAAGGATTTTTTGATGATTATACTCAAAGGAGTACTGCTTGAGGGAAGGATTTTCTATTTTACTTCACAGGGTGATGACTCTATCAGCTTCTGGTACATCCAGCTAGAGGTGAGGGAGCTTGTACAATTAGCCACCAGATCTGAAAATGCAGTAGCAAAGAGATAAAAACCTGCATATTTTCCCTCTTCTGTGTCTGCTGCCACAGAGAGTCTGTCTGAGGTATATGCAGGTCTGGATCAGCAGATCAATACTTCAAAGACTTTGGAATGAAAAGTCAGTCCCAGAGCTGTGTAGGCATCCAAATGACTTGCAGCCTCTTTATGGCTTCTAAAACACTAGTTTTTCATCCCTGATCAGTTCCAAGCTGTGATACGATAGGGAAGAAAATATCTTCCCAGCTCCTTTAAAGACTTTCTGCTTTACTGTGATCTATATACCTGCCAATACCAACATTAGTCATCTTTTTAATCTTTCTTAAATCTGTATATTTATGTATATAAATACTCAGGTTTGAAGGTTTGATTTGAGACCAGAAATAGAATTCCCACTACCCATGCCCGGGTTTCTGAATGTTTATCCTTTATTATGCTTGTCTACAGCACCCATCTTGAGAGGAAACACAAGGTATCTGTCGTTAACAACACGCACAAGCCCCAGGAATAAGCAAAATAGTTGTGAATAGTTAATCTTTTTCAACAGAAGAGTCTAATAAGGAGATGGGAACTTTATTTTTTAATACTACTACTTCTTATACATGCCTTTGATTATAAGCATAAGAATGCCATTTCAGCCAAACTTTGTCCGTAAACCTGATAGAAAGGAAAATGTGGTTTCTAATCTGCTCTAATTGAGCCAAAATCAAAATCCTGGCATACAGGCAAAATTTGCAGTTGTATTCCCCATCAGCTGGTGAGTGTGAATGTTCCATGGGTGGAACACATGGGACTACAAGAGGCACAGTGGGAGTGGGACACGCAAGGATATATTACCAATATTGGCGGCTATCTCCCTTTCCAGCAACAGAAACTGCTGGGATCTGAAGAGCTGCACCTTCATGCTTTTGCTTGATGCTATGTATGCTTCAATTCCACTGTCACTGTGCTATTTGCTGCAATTTGGAGATAGGCAACTTGTTCAGAATGACAGCTGAAATGCCCATCTTGCCACAAGCTCTTCTTCCTCTTCAGTGCAGTAAGATGACTGCTCAAGTATGAACAGGCTCAACCTTTTGGCACCTGTCAGGAACATTAAAGGTCACTTAATACAGCAATTTTCAATGCATTTTCTGCTGAGCTGGAAGTAGTTCCAGCACAGGGCATTGTAAGTCACCTTAGTACAGGTACTTTCTAGGCATATGTTGTGCTTCGGAGCATTGCACTGCTTCTGTGTGTTCATTACTGAAGTACTACACTCAGCAATATTGAAAAGTGGGCCAGGGAGCTGCACTTAAAAGTAGGCTCACAAGCCACACATTCCTTCACACCCAGACCAGCCAACACCTCTCACTCCAGGGCCTTTTCACCCTCTAACATTTCCTCTGTCCTTCATCAGACCTCTCTGTCCCCATGTCTTGTAAAACCCCCTAGTGTCCACACTCCAGTCCCTTGGTTTTCATTATTATATCCATAGGTAACTGGTGGATGATCTGTGTCCTGCAGACTTTGATATCTCTCTCCTGCAACGTCTCTTTCATCTGACACCTGGGGCATGCAATGTTGCATAAATTTGTGCCAAAACTATAAGGTTCTTACTACCCTCCATTAATGTTCATATCTAGATAAATCAGATAAATAGACTCCATAAAGGAAGAAGATGTTGAAGGAAGACATGTCTTTATCTTAGGCTGGTGGACACTCACTGACTAACCACATTCACATTTCCACTTTGGAAATCACATGAGCAAAACAGACTGGAAGACCACATAAATCATTAAGCAAAATGAGTGACTTTCAGTTCTGTATTTAAATGTCAACTTTTTTCCTAATGTAGCAACAAGGCTTCATACATACAGATTGCAAGTTAGAGAGGCTGCTGATGTTAGGTACCCCTGTCTTATGGTAAAATATGTGAGAGAACTGGATCATATTCCTGAATGAGTAAAGGCAGAGCGTGTCCTACAGCACCATCTAGCAGGCTAATTTAGAAGTGGTCCATATCCCTGGATCCATGACTACAATAATGATGATTATGTGCATCAAAACCAGGGTGCACTTCAGTCTTGTTTCACCTTCCTTGGTGTAAGAGCTGCTTCTTGAAACCAGAACTGTGCCAGCATGGTGATTAGTAAAGCTGAGTGTCTATTTTACCCAGTCGTATTAATTATAAATATCTTAAGAGAAACCGTAGTAAGAATGCAATGCCAGTTTTTTGAGGTTTAGTTTAAGAAATCCTTGTTTTTTAGATCTCTCCACCTGATACAGAAGCACCTCTCAATGTAAGATTTCACAAACCCACCCGACCTTCTCTCCGTATTCACCAGCAGGATAAGTAAGTCTTAGTGTGATGAGGGATTTTAAAAGCCTGAGAGTCTCTGTGTGTTTCAGTTAGTGTGACTCTGTTGTCCATCGTCACCTACACACATTTTCTTTATACATCTTTATGAAGTATGAATACCAATGCCAACCTACAAATTGTAAGTTTCAGCAGAAGATGAAGCTCCATGCTGAGGCTGCAGAACAAAAACTGTAACAGATCTCTGCTGATATAAAGAGGGATATGAAGTTTTTGTTGAATTTTTTGTTTGTTTGTGTTTTTGGTTTTTTTTTCCTGGCTGCCTCATACCTTGTTAGAGCCTTGGCACTTCTCAGAGTTTTCAATGCTCCCATTCTGCTTAATAACCTATCAGAAAATGATGCCTTTTTGTCTGTTGCTGTTTTCTGCTAATAGTGACATAAATGTGGTAATTAAGAGGGCCTGATGGGTGACAGAGCTGGCAAAAATTGTCTCAGGGAGGGCCAGGTGAAAAAGGTGGATTTTTTCCTCTGATTTCTCCCTTTGGGTGGCAGCAAACTATTCATCTGCCTTGCCATACTGCATAAAACCATAACCTAAGGGTAGAACTGTGCCCTGTCATGAAGAAATGTGTTTTCTTAGCAGTTAGCAATCTGTTTATTCGAAGTTAAAACCAAGGTTGTCATTACCAGCTTCTGTTCACAACAGGCTATGCCTAGTCAGGCCTGTTTAGCACTAGCATTTCTAAAAATCGGATCATCTAGTAGGAAAAACATCGGATAAATTTCTTCATTAGGATACTTTCATGAAAGTCGTAAAAATCCCCATGAATTTGAAAGAGAACTCCTAAGTAGTCAGTTTATGAGCTTAATCCTTTTGTGTGAACTCCAAGTGTCATGGTAAAATGTCTGGGAACTAAACCTTTACTGGTAAGAAATACTTCAATCAGGGGCTGCTGCAAAGAAAGCAAGATCTGTCAAAATTAATCATAAGCAAAAAGTAAGAACAGCTTGCTTTCATTTCTATTCTGCTGCCTCTCAACCCACTATCCAGCATAATTTCCATTTGGATAGTGAAAAATTATTACCTTATGACCGCCTGCTGTGAAGGGACACTTTGAAACAATCATCCAGCGTCAGTGCAAACTTCCCATAAATGAGACAAACTCTTTTACTATCCCCTATGCAAATAAAATCCTAATCTGGCCAAAAGCTGTTCTGTATCCTTGCTTTGCAAGGACTGCACATCCCAGGGGCAAGGCTGGAGTTCCCAGAGCTCTGCCCTCGGATGCCAGGGCTTCCAAAGGCTGCTGCTCTGCCACCTCTGCATTTCACCTCTTTCCAGGGCCTTGGGAGCGCCCAGCCTGTAAATCCACACGGGTTTATGGCGAAACCACACTGCTTTCAGCAAACAATAACTGTAAAGCAAGTTTAAAAATCCCTGCGTGTGCTACTTTCCCATTAGGAATGACAGAGAAATCAAATCCTACACGGCGGATACCAGCTCTGCCACTTGCTGCCTTAGCGGCAAGCGTTCCTGCCCTGCAGTGGAGAGAGCTGAATGAAGAACACTGATGTACAGTGTTTTGCAGGAAGAACGATGGGAGTTAAAGCACAGAATGAAGTCGTGAGGCGGGCAGAGAGCGGCAGCGCCCGCCTCACGCTGCGGCTGCTTTTTGAGGGCTGGGGCGGGTGTCTCTTGCTCTCCGCCTGCAGGGGCAGGGCTCGGATCTTCCCCTCGCTCCGCTCGCCGGCGGGCAGGTTCAGCGGGTCGGATCTTCCCCTCGGCCCGTCCGCCCGAGGCCGGGTCCGGCCCGTGTCACTGCGGCCGCCCTGAGCGGACCCGAGCCCCGCCCGCCATGGCTGCTCCGCCCGGCCCCGCGCCGCCCCTTCCGCCCGCAGCACCGCCTCGGCGGGACCGCGGTAGGTGCCGGGCGGCCGCGGTGCGGGGCGGGGGTGGTTCCTGCGTGGGCCCCGGGGCTGTGGGTTTCTGCCCCCCTCCTCTTCTGTGTGTTTAATTTTCGTGACAGCCCTGGAGGCGGGTCTGGCCCGCGCCCCGTTTCCTGATCGATCGTGCGTTAAGTTGGGCTTTCTCCTCGGCTACGTGCGATTTTAAAGCAGTTAAATCAGTAATACACACTTGTTATGGCCAAACCTGTCCAGATATCCCCCATCTGAACTTTAGCTGTTACAGATCTCGGAGTTCAGTGAGAATTAAGCCTGTGACACCGCAGAGATAATTCAGCGTGTGGTGGAGGCCGCTGTGTAAGCTTGGTGGTGGCTTCATGGTTACTAGAAGATTAAATTTGCAGGATATGGGCCATATAAATTGCATTGCAGTTTCCGGCTGCTTTCCTCAAACATCAATTGCACAAAGTTTATGAATAAAAATAAAGATGCCATGCACCGTTAGGGTTGCAGTGGGATATCTGCAGGAGCTGAGCATCTGCACTGACTCCAGGGGAATGTTTGAAAGCGTGAATGGTAAAATGTGATGTCACCAGTTTTCCTTTTATTTTCCTGAGTATTGACTATTATGAAAAAACTGATGCTCTGTGGCATTTCCTGCTTACTTTTGCATTCGATGTGCACAATCACATTTGATCATGCAAGGAAGGAGTTTTCGTTAGGAGAGTGGAGTTTTCAGTGCGGCCTGTCCTTCCCCACACGGGTGTGGATGTAAGCTGAAGAAGGGCTTTTTTCCTTGCAGCATTTCTAATCTTAAAACTATGTTAGCCAGCTCTAGTGAGAGGGCATTCTCTGACAGGAGAAACCTGTCAAGTCCCTGCCTCAGCTTCACAGGAGGATCAAGTGATAGGCTCCCTACAATCATCCCCTTGGAAGTGCTTCCCCCTGCACTATAAATGACATGACCTTTTCAATCAGATCTAGACTACCAGATTTGCCGGGAGGTCATAAACTTCAAAATGGTCATTTGATTTTAAGTATTACCATTTTCTGGTTTTTAGTTCTGTTATTTTAGTTCTAGTCTATTGGTTTCATCCAAGTCCTTGGCCCTTTAGTGTGTTTTTCTTAAATCATATTGTCAAAAAACTCAACACCTCTGTCTTCAGCAGAATGTAAGAATACCAATAGTTACTGCATGAAGAAATACATATTAAATTATTGTATGATTACATACATCATTGTTTTTATTAAGCACTCAGTGTGTGTTCAGTGCAGCATAAATATTAAACAAGATTATTCTCCCCCTGGTGAGTTTACAGCCTGAAAGATCTTCATAGGAAGATTAAAACACCACCTTTAAATTATTCTCTTTTTGTTTCCCTGTGGTTAACACTCATTTGCTGTTGATCATGACTGGTGTATCCTGGCATGTCCTGTAGTGCTGTTTGATGATGTTACAGACCCCAGTTGTCCACTCTAACGCTCTGTGAGAAGTTCTTGTTCAGCACACGTGGAAGGAGAGCATATGTCCCTGCTTCAGCTGCTGCCATACAGAGCCCAGCAGCATAGCTGAGACCCACCTTTGATGGTACTCCAGGCTGAGACTTTGGTTGTTGTATCAAAGCACCATTCCCTTCTGCCACCTCGGCTTCCTGTGAGGACAGCTGGAAACACTCATGTCTTTAACAGCTGCAGCAAGATTCTATGAAGCTCCTGTGTTAAAGCTCTGAGAGAAGAGACTCCGCAAATGGAAAGAGTGGCGTCCAGTTTTCACTGATTTCTGCTGGATTTAGGTGCCTGCTTCTCTTTTATATGTTCATAGTAGCACCATTCTAGGTGGGAATTTTGTACCAAATAGAATATTTTTTAAGAAGAAATTGGAGCTTTCCTGAGCAGAGCATGTAATATGGCTTGGATTATAAAAAGAACTGATGCTTCCCAAGGGAAGCATGACTCTTGAACTGAATGAGTTGGCAGGTTTGAAAGTTTTTAAGTTTATTTGCTTATTTAGAGTCATAACATAGTTGTAGGCCCTGAAACTATTTATATTCCAGTTTCTGCTCTAGATTGAACATAGTATTTGTCAGAGAAGTTAGTTCAGAGTCAAATATTTAACAGTAGCTGCTGAAAGCATGGTGCTTTCTGAAAATAGCTTTTTGATAAGCTAGCTAGAACCACTGCCTGGAAGTTGAAATCTGATAGAAAGGAAAAAAACCCCAATGTATAAAAAACACATACTGTTTCTTGTTTTTTGGTTGTTTTTTTTTTTTTTTTTTTGTGGTTGCTTAGGTTTTTGGTTTTTTTTTTTTAATACTGAGCTTGACTATCCATCAGAACAAACTTCTAAAGGAAAATTCTGTCTCCTGAAATTTTTCAAATCAAAATGTGATCCTGTTTTAAAAGTTGTAGTCAAACTCAGCTTATTGAATTTAGTATTCAGGTTACTGATTAAAATTTTTGCAGCTGTACTCTAGAGGAGGTTGGCATAGACTGATCTAATTACTGGCTCTTTCTGACCTCAATACCCATAGACTGTTTAGTGGAAGGCAGGAGTGGGATTGTGCTAGCAAGGATTAGACAAGTGTGTTGAGTAAAGACAGGCTGTGTATTGATTGCTGGGGGAGGAGGAAGTGTGGTGGCTTTAGTATTGTCTTTATTGTGGTAAATTGATTTACTGGAGGAAAGGGAGAAGTTAATTCTTCAGATCAATCATCCTGTATTGCAAGTCCCAAAAATTGTTGCGTATCCATTCCGCTGTAAAGATGCTTTGTGTTTTGTTAATGTAAAAATTTGTTTATTTGGTTATTGTGCTCTGCTTCTTTTAATGTTTTCTGCTCTGGTTGTTTGGAATTTTTTAGTGCTAGGGAGATGACAAACTGATTTGTGCACACTTTAATTCCTGATTTTGTGTTATGAACAGGTAGGATTTGACTATGGCAGTGCTGTTCCTGCGGAAGGCATCTGTGTGGTTAAAGAAGCACAAGATCACTGTGTTGGCCGTTTCTTGCATGGGACTGCTTGGCACTAACCTTTCCTATCATGTGTTTCCTGAGCAGACATTCAAACTGCTCCACGAGTGCTGGTCAGAGGGGCAGCCAGCTGAGCTTTCAGAGAAGCTCTGTGGTGTGTTTCAGGATGTCCTTCAAGACACTGGTGTGAAGTCCACTGGCTTCTACAGAGCCTTTGCAGCTTCTGGCTTCCAACCTGTGAGCGCTGGCATTCCCTGGCTGCCTGCAGGCTGTTTGGTGGGCATCCCACCCAACTTTGATAGCACAGCCAAGGATAAAAAAGGAATAGTCAACCATATTGTTGTAATAAATGGCAAGGAAGTAGACTGGGAGAGCAGTGAAGGTGTGGCTTTGAAGGAAGCTCTCACATTTTCCCTTAAAGCTCAGAAGTTTGCCATTGCCAGAGAAGTTGTGTACTTGCAGAATGGCAGCCCTTTAGCAAGTGCAGTTGTGGCTCCAACTTGCTTGGCTGGGACGTTTGTCTGTGGGAGAGCTCTAAAGCTGCTTCTGAGGTTATCCACCGGCCCTGTGATCCTCCGTGGCCTCTGTAACCTTGTCACTGCCATGGGAGGACTGCTCTGCTATTATGTCTCTTCTGATGCCATCACCTATCACCTGGACTGCAGGGCCGACACGAAGGCAGCCAGGCTTTCCAAGGACTATGCCAGCGGTGGCCTTGAATTTTATGATAAAATCTTGTCCCGCAACAGGATTTTTCGTGGTCTGATGGGCAAACAAGGAATGAAAATGTATGCCCCGAGTGGTAACCTTTTCCCAAGGCACTGGTTCAGAATAAAGTATACCCCATACACTTACCGGAGAACGTTGATTCTTAATATTTTAAGAGAGCTCCAGGCATCTGATGGGAGTGCTTGAATTTTAAACTTGTGAATTATGTATTTTGGAACACCACTGTGATGCTTTTTTCCTTTTTTTCCTTCTGTATCTTCAATAGAATTTTGGGGTTTATTTTTGCATATAGTTCGGGAAGAGTTGTTGCACGTTTCTTGAATAAAGAATTCTCTCTTAAAATATTAAAGACTTGCTTCCAAAGTGCTCAGTTCTGTGTGCATCTCAAATCACAAGGCTGCTGAGAAGGGAAACTTTTCAGACACTGATCTGGAAGTTCTGCTGTGCTGCTTTGCCTTCCTGCCATTTCAGTCTGGCAAACTGTGAGGGGCAAGTCCAGCAGAGAGTTTTGGGATCACTATGATTTAAACTGGGGTGTTTGCCATTTCTCCTATAGAACAACTCAGTTATTTTAAAAAACGGGCACTCTGTATTGTGTGGTTACATAAATATCAAGACACAGAGTGTTTCTGTTCTGTGTAAGTTCTTGTGCTGTGTATATTCTTACGCTGCAATCACCATTCTTCAGTAGGAGACATTAGTTATGCTACAATTCCTACCAGTACAGACAGATTATTACCAGCACCTGCATCATATGCTTAAGTCTAGTTCTGTTTTCTCTAGTACATGGTGACTGCAGTGTCATGGTCAATGTTTCCCAGGAATGGTAGTATATAACTGGACAGTCCTGGGTTGGTTGTTTTCTCACAAGTGGGATGAGCATGTTGAGAAAAGGTTTTTCTGCTTGCTTTGGTATAGTTTTTTGTTTCACTTAAAAATATGTGTAGATGTATGTCGCCTGTTATGTCAGTGAAGGCAAGGTACGAGACATAAGTCTGGCATTTGGTGCAGAAACTGGTGAGGTCTTTCATTAAGCGTTGCCAAAGGAAATTATTCTCCTGTATCCAACTGTCTGTCAGGCCAGGCTTTGCCCAGGATTACTAATCTTCTGGAGAAGTCTTTAGGAAACTTTCCATTATAGCCTCACCTTGATTTTTCAAGGTGATAGTTTTCAAACTTTGTGGTTCCCTCTTTTCTATGTTTCAATTGCTGTTCCAGTAGCTCTCCCTGGTGACATCAGAGTAGTTCTCATCTCTGTCGTCATTCCCACCAGCAACTTCTATTATTTTGTGTCTTCTCAGTCAGAGATGCGCTGAGTGTCCTCTGCCTTGGCTTTGTCCTTTCTTCATCTGCTACAATAAGAACTGTCACACCTGTGTTTGCTCAAAGCATTACTGAGTTCTGTTTTCCTTTTGAATCACATGGTGACATAAAATTGATATTCTGGCTGCTGAAGCACTGCTGTTGCTTTCCATTGCTGAAGCCATGCTTGTGAGATGTTTGAGTTTCTGCTGAAGTAATCTGTACCATGTGCTTCTGAAACATCACCTATTGCTTGCACTTGTCCTCCTCTCATGAGGTCATGCAATGCCTCCCTGGTGCTTTTCTGACTGTAAGGCATAAAGCTATTGTTTTTGTGTCCTTTCTGAAAGAGTCTGATAAAATTTCCCAGTCTGTGGAATAAGAAGAGACTTTACTTTTAGGCGGGGGTCTTTAGAAGCTTGGAGCTAATTTTTTTTTTTACTTGTCTTCCAAATAAATCCAGTATAAGACATTACAGAAGTTTATTGGTAGAGTGACATAGTGACTCAAGACTGGAATATAATTCCTGGTTTATATAGCCTGTGAGTTCAGTTTATCCTCCTGTTACTCCTTCAGACATGTCTAAACTCCATTAAATATTCTCAGAGAGAACTTGGCCCATTTGGTTTAAGTGGTTGAAGGAGCTGCTGCTACATAAAGAGTGCAGAGAGGAAATCAAGGCCTTCTTGAAGATTTACAACAAGTAACAGTTTAAACAAAGTAAAATGAAAGTAATCTACTTGACTTTTATCACTCCTTACTGTTGCTTTTCGTCATGATGCCTGCAGCTAGTGTGGTTATTTGACATTGTTAATGTGTAAAGGCCCAGTGATGCTAATGGGTTTTGCAGCTGTGCACTCCACTTGACTCTTGCAGTGGGATTGTCTAAGAAGCTCCACATATCTATAAATGTTGTGTCCCATTTACCGTTCTTTGAACTTGCTGTGGCACATTGGTGTTGGTAAGGAAGGGCTGGCTAGCATCAAGATGCATGACCCTTCTTTCCAAAGGCAGAGTCTTGCCAAGGGCTTACACACCTTCATTTCTGTACAGTTGAGCACAGTGTAATAACGTTAATATAGGGAAAACAGAAACTGCTAAATAAGATTTCCCTGAATTTTGGTAATGTGCAGGTTGTCCTGGAAAAGATTTGTGTGTGTGTGTTGCCAGGTAATTGCTTTTTGCAAGATCACCCATGCTATTTGGCAAGTAAGAATAGCACAACTCAAATGCATGACCATGACATTACTCATGAAAAGTCTTTTATTATACTGCAGATGTTTTTCTGTAGGTAGAACTATCACTGAAATCAACCATGAACTCCACATACTGGCGATAAAAATGGTCTGGTTTTGAGAGGTTCACTAGAAGCAAGCATCCCAGAATTAAAGGTGGAAATGTTCCATAATAAGAATCATTTGATGTGGAAAAGCAAGTTCATTCAGTGGCCCAGAAAACGCCAAACAAATCAGTTCTTAAGTCGTGTCAGTGAATAGCCTCCCCCAGCTCTGAAGCTGAAAATCTGAGGAATTTGAAGAACTTGTTTTAGTATTAACTGGCTTGTTTTTGCTGCTCAGACAAGGCAGACTTTGTAAATTTTTTTGTGTAGAAAAGCAACAAAAACTGTTAAGCTAAAAGGAATTGCTAGGAGATGTAGATAAAAGAAGTCTAAGTCTAGAAACTGTAAAAGCAGAGATGTCAGTGGAATAAGCTCTCATAAAAATGGATACTACAGATATGAAGCTCTCTGTCTGGTAAAGTGATTAAAGGATGAAGAAGTATGAGTAGCAAAT